ACAGGACTCAAGGCTCCTTTTCGGGGCTTCTCACTCAAATGTTGTAGCACTGTCCATAAGCAAAGTGGCCAGCTGTGTAGACTACTGATGTCCAACTTCAGGCCAGATTTCAACATGGCATTGTACCTATCATGCCTGCTCCGGTAGTGTTATATGGTACATTAAACTTCAACTTTATTCCTAATTGCTGCACCCAGTCTTGTAACTCATGTCCAGTAAAGTGGGTACCTTGATCACTCTCAGTTACCCTTGGTGAGGCATAGGCTGCAAAAAGAAGCTCTAGGTCTCTTTTGATGGTTTGCTGATATGCACAACATGCAGGAAAAGCAGTCAACAGCCCAGTAGCTGTGTTCACACAAGTCATGGCATACTGATAGCTTTCTGATATGAGCAGTGTCCCAATATAGCAAATCTGCCACCTTAGTATTGTAAGGTATCTCCCCCTTTACTATTGTCACATGTTGCTGTGGGACTCAGTGTAAATCCTTCTTAGAGCACACAAGGCAATCATTCTAGGCTCTATTGACTTTTTCAAAGATCAACAGCAAGCCCCAGTGCCAGGCTACAGACCACATTGTCTTTTGCCCCACATGCAACAATTGCGGATGTAACTATTGGGCTAAAGCTTTACTTTTACCCAATACACCTGGGCCAATGTATCTGCTTCATCATTCCCTGGGGATATCAAAGGAAAATGGACAGTTATGTGATATATGGCAACTGTCAGTCTGACCAGAGGCCCATAGGTCCTGCCACAACTCTTGCCCTCAAAAGGGCCGATGACCAAGCATCCAGTTGGCATGGTACCATGTTGGTAGCCACAAGGTTAAGCCCTGATAGAAGGCCCAGCTTTCAGTGCAGACAACTTATAGGGGAGGTTTCCTCGGTGATCACAAGCCATACTGCCTGCAACTCAGCCCATTGACTGCTCTTCCCCTCTCTGTCTTCTATCCATATTTAATCAGTCTTAGGATGGAAAGCCACAGCCCTCCACTGTGGGGCTGCCCATGACTGGAGCTATCTGTGTCAAAGCATCTTCAGGGATAGGGGCTTTTCCCTCCCGATAAGGACCCTCAGCTACCAATGGCTCAAAGCAAGTTCTTCCTGCTTTCCACTGGTATAAGTCACTGGCCCCAATAACACTGGAGTTCTCCACTTAAGGGGCTAGTAGAAAGGTCACTATGCTGCTGTAAATATGCACCCCATTTCACCAGTGTAGGCATCTGTGCCACGCCACTTCACAGGCTTTGAGTCCAGTCTTGCACCCACCCCATGATGGGATAGGTAGTTACTACTTTGGTCGGAGCTTTTCCAGTGATGGGCTCCATGGCCAGCAAGGCATGGTAGACAGCAGCCAATTGCTTCTCTATTAAGGTGTACCAGACCTCTGCTTCCTTTCCATAGTTCGGACCTGAACCCAATAGATTGGTGTATCCATTCAAGCTGCTGCCAAGGGCCCCATCCATAACTGTCTTTGGTTACATGAACATCTGGGTCACAGGGCCTTGATGAACCCATTACACTCAAGGCCTGTATGGCCTTGACTGCCCACTTAGCAGCAATAAAAGCAGCTCCATGTTTCATCCCAGTCCCACCTGATGTCCTTTCATATCAATTTGTATAAGGGCTTCAGAATTTTTGCTAAGTGCGGGATAAATACTTTCCAGTAGCCAAAAACACTGAAAAACTCTTGTAATACTGCCATAATGGTAGGGGGTAAGGAAAGCCTGGACCTTGTCTGTAAACTGCTACAGGAATAACTTTAGTGTTAACTGAACAGACAACCCCCAAGAACTTTACTGACAAACCAGGTCCCTGGACCTTGGTGCTGTTCACAGCCCATCCTCTCTCTTGTAGATGTTGCAGCAATCTAGGAACTGCCCCTTCTAGATCTGCAAGAGAATCAGACGTAAGCACGATTATCATCAATGTAGTGATACAGCCGCACCTTTGTGGATTCTTCCATGTGGCCAAGTCCTGGGCTACAACTCTGTGACAAATGGTGGGGCTGTGGATGTATCCCTGTGGAAGGACAGTGAATGTCCACTGCCAGCCTTCCCACATGAAGGCAAACTCTTCCTGACTTTCCTGTGCTATGTCAAGAGAGAAGAAAGCATTACCAAGGTCCATAACATAAAGATACATCCCTGGTTCATGATTGAGGGTATCCATAAGGGCTGCTATAGAGGGACAGCAGCATGCAAAGGTGGTGTGACTTTATTCAATTCCCTGTAATCCAAGGTCATGTGTCAGGAGCAGTCCGGCTTTTTCACTGGCCACACCAGGGAATTAAAAGGACTATGAGTGGGCTTTATGATGCCCACCTTCTCCAATTTCTGTAGAGTTTCTCCAATCTTCTTGTGCCCCTCAGACAATTTATACTGCTTAGTATTTGTCACCCACTGAGGTACAGGGGGGTGCTTAGCATGTCCCCTCAGAACTGCCTTTACGACATGTACCCTCAGTCTGAACTCACCTACAGTGGTCTGTAACCACAGGCCCTGCAGGGTATGAAACCCCAAATATATTTCTGGATGGGAGAAATGTATACAGTATACTCCTTTGGGGGTAAAAACCCTATTCTCAATGGGATTTGGGCTTTCTTCACTCTAATTGCCTTACCCCCATAGCCATCTATCACAGCAGGGGTCCCAGGAAAATACTCAAGGTTGCCATAAATCAGAGAACATTCAGCTCCTGTGTCCATCAGTGCCAGGACACATTGTACATTCACGGGTAACCAGTGAATTGCTAATTCTACATGTGGCCTCCAGTCTTCACTGCATCCCCCAAGGTGGGGGCCTTGACCACCACCCTCAGTCAAACCACAATGCCCAATTATCCTCCTGGGGGAGTGAGGCCCAGGCAGAGCCTGAGTACTCTCCCTAAGGAAGTCTTTCAGGGACATAAGTAGGACATGGGGCTTTGCATCTGGCTTCTGTGCTCTGGACCTCAGCAACTGGAACTGCTGCTCTGGCTTTAACTGGTGCCATTCCAACAAGATCCTACTGCACTGCCCAGGAAATTTTTATTTTACTACCCAGCCTTTATCAAATCCACCAACATCTGGAGACCTCCATGGGGATCTTTGCCCGTCTCCTTTCAGTCATAGCCCATTCTTCCTTCTGTGCTCTTATTGTTTCAACCTCCCCCAGATCTGCTAAAGTACGAGTAGCCTCAGTTATGGGTTGCCCTATGTGGGGGGCAGGAATAGTCACTAGAGACCCAAAGTGAGATGGGGGTGCTGTATGGAGCACCAATCATTCCTATGGTGAACAACTCCTCATCAGGGCCCTGGAGGCCCATATTATAGATGATATTTTTAATGCCCAACTCCTGTAACACCTGCTGGCGCTCTGCATACATTTTCAAGCTAGTGGGTAAGTATAAATCACCCTGATTAGGCTAAACTGCCCTGATGGCAGCTGTCAGCCATTCCAGAAGTACCTTATTCCCTGAGGTGTGATGGGCACTTTGCAACCACTGCCAGAGGGAAGGGTGAGTCGTTAGGGAAGCCAGTCTACTAGTTTCTGAAGCCAGTGTAACAATGTTTTCCACCCCCATATCCCAGAGACGCAAATGCCATGTAGGCAGAGGTTCCAACAGCTTCTGCTGATACCAAATGCTATGTCCATGAGCTCATCCTGGGTATAGGGGCAGAGCATGGAGTGCTCCACAACCTGCGGAGGGGGTGGCCTCTTCCTGAGGAGCCCAAGGTTGTTGCGTTTTTACTTTATTTACAACCTGGCAGGCCTTTAGTAAGGGAAAGACTGGTGCCTCAGGCAGGGACCTCAGTAACAGTTCTGCTCTCTGCTCCACCCCCTCATATTTCCCTAACATGTCCTCTACTATCTCCAGGGCTGAAGGCAATGCTATATCCTCCACCTCCCCACGGCCTCTTGCGACAGGGATTCTCCTGCTGCCTCCTCCCTCGCTGCTATCATATCTTCCAGTAGCACAAACTGTCTTCTCAGTAACTGTCTTTCTTAAAGACATCCCATGTCATAGTCCAGCTCCTCCAAGCGACGTCAAAGTGTCTCTCTCTTCCCTCAAAAACCCTTTCCACTATTATTCCCACAATCCTGGCTGCTACACAGCTACTCAGGGACTCTAAGCAGTCTTCTATCTTACGGAGGGCTAATTCCACAACTCTGATGTCTCCAAGGGCCTACTCATCCAGGAGGTGCTTTTCCCTAGATCAACTTCCCACTAGGGGCTCCCCAAGTGGAAGCCCCATGAACAGGGGGCTCCTGGGTGAAGCCGCACCATCCATCACTGCCAGAGGGGAGGGTGAGTCATCACTCCCCACCACAGCAGCCACCAGAGCCTCCCCACCATCCACAGGTGGGTTTCTGTGTATTTCACCACCAACTCCAGTGGCAGCCTGCCCCAGTGTTGCACCCACAAAGACAGATTTTGGGTTCAGAGGTACTAGCAACTACCACCAGGTGTAACTTCACAGGGTGGGGGGAATGTATGTTCCCAGCCCAGGGCAAATAACCTTTGAAGCCAAAATCAAAGGGAGAAATAAAGTGGAAAAAACTCATTTATTGCTTACAGCAGTCATCCACTTCTGCTTGCCCATGTCTCTTGTGACCTGGCTGCAAAAAGGGACCCCACCCTACCTCTCCGGCCCAGATATGCCCTGGTTCCCCCTTGTAATCACCTACTGATATGGAGATGGACCACTTCTCTCCAACCTTGGAAACAACTATTGATACAGAGATGCACTAAGACCAGGTGAGAGGTTCTGGAAATACTGCAGTTTTACCCACAATGCCTGCCAGAAAGAAAAAGGCTGATTGTTGGCAAATATGTGGAACTGTAAGTTTGGAAAATCGACAATATCCAGAAAGCTGAGTATAATGTATATACTGTGACCCGGCAACTCCACTCCTAGACAGAAATGGGTACCTATGTGCACTAGAGTTCATGTACTGGAATATTTGAAGACGTGTTACTACTGATAGTTCCCAAGCTGGGAATGAACAAAACATCCATCAGATAAATATGCAGTTTATTAACACAATGGATTACTATACAGCCATGGGAAGCATGGAACAAATACATGCAAAAAAATCTAACAAACGTAATGTTGGGCAAATAAGCCAGATATAAAAGAATACATATTGCTTGGTTCCATTCATATGATATCCAAAAAACAGACAAAACAATCTATGCTCTTAGAAGTCAGGTTAGTGGTTACCCTTTGGGAAGTAGCAAGGGGGGCTTCTGGGTGCTGGTAATATTACTGATTGGGATGCTGATTATACATGTGTTCCATTCGTGAAAAAGCATGGACTTGTTTGTACATTACACTTCAACAAAAATGCCTCTGCCTGGATTACCAACTCAGACTGAAGAAATGATTCCTTCCCTCTTGTGTGCCTTGGTTCCCTCATTATTAAAGTAGGGGTAATGGTGCTTACCTCATACAGCTATTATAAGAATCTAAATGAGTTAATGCACAAAACGTTTAGAAAAATAATATTAAGTTGGAGCTTAGTAAGTGTTAGCTGTCAGCATGGCTTTATCTAAGGTATGCTGTCCCCAAGATAAGTAAGGAGCAGCAGGCTCTGGGACCGACCCCCACAAGTCTCCCCAGGGAAACTGAGGAGTACTCTTGAGAATCCCACATCTGCTAAGTATTGCAGTGAAGAGCACGCACACATGCCTCAGGGCTATGGAATGGGAGCAGAGGAGAAACTGAAGACCCGAGGTGGAGAGCTGGCTGTTCCCCAGCCCAGTCCCATATATATCTGCTATACCTGCTAAAAAATCTATCACTAAGTGTAGCAGCCATTGCATCCATTGCCTTCAGAGAATCAGAAATGTTGCTCTGTCAGAGGGTGGGAAATGAAACTTACCAGGTATACGTATTTTGACATAACAGCATCTAGGGAAGTTGTGACATCATATGCTTCCTATTTTACCAAAGGCCAGTAAACTACCACAGGCATTTTGGTAAACTTTTATTATAGCACCCTTGTCCCTGGACCTGACCTCTATTTTGAAGACCCAGGGCCTTGACAGTGACCAGCTCATGATATAAAGTCTGAGGTAGACAACAAAGAGTTCATCAACAATGGGAAGTTCAGAATCTAGAATATTCACACTGGCATTTTCTCCCTGTAGGCAGACCCACAGAAGCAGCCAAATCTTTATGAGAAAGGTATCTGAAGATATATTAAAATACCATAATGGCAATCAGCTAAGAAAGGCTGAAAAATAATCTCCCTGGAGAGCTAATGGGACTGGAGATCTGGATGTCTAAGAACTGGCAGGCTTGTTCTGCCTCTCCACTGGTGATCAATAGCATACCCTGCCTCAAAGCCCGTTGCTTTGTACATCTCTGCTCTGATGCTCTTTTAATGCTGGAACACAAATTTACACAGCAATCATGTGTTCCATTTCCAGGTCTGGGGAAGTGGTGGACTAGGACTCGGTACTGATAATCTGCCTTTTAAAGTAATAACACAGATGAGTTGATAAAAGTTGAAGTCTCTAATCAATGCCTTCTCTCCCTGAAGGCAAACTTCTTTGGGGAGTCACACTAGAAACTGGGCACCAACACATCCCATTTGGATTCAGCTGTAAATGGCTAGTTTCTCTTTCCATGAACACTGTGGCTACATTATGCCTTCCCTTATTCTAGACCCAAAGAATTCAATTTGAGTGTTTTAGTTATATCAGAATCCAACTATGCTCCCAAATCAATCTTCCCAATTGTAGGTGGTATCTGTCGACAAGTGACTGACTTGATCTTCATTTCCACTTTCACCAAGGACACACTGAATGGCAGGTAAATGCCCTGTAGTCACTACCATGAACCACTTACTTCAGCGACCCAACAGGGAAAGCCATGCCCCTTTCATAACAATTACTCCAAGTCTTGAATAGAAAAATCACCAAATACAGAGACTGCATATTATGTGCAAAGCTTTTACCTTGGTGATGGGAGATGGTGGGTAGGGATTACCTTTTCCTAACTGTTCTTCTTCAGTCACTTCCCACTTAATTGTAACAAGGAGATGTCAGAGAGTAAAGAACAGAAAAGGAAATGAGGCCAACAGAGGTCAAAGGAAAGGGCACCATCCAGGCATGGTTCTGCACCCCTTCTGCACACACACGGCTCACTCAGTCCCCAGAGCCTTGCATGGTACACTTGGGCTCCTTTTGCTCCTTTCTACCCACTGGAGGCCCTGGGGACTCCAGCTTCCTTTTCTCTGTTTTGTATTACTACCAATTACTCCAACATTTGGGGGAATTCTCTCCCCCACTAAATGAGAATAGTGATAGGAAATAATACAGCTTTCATACTCTATTGAACTATCGAAATACTCTCTGGCATGTTCAGCAGAACTACAATGAACCTGGAGATACATGTAACAGTAAAAGCTCACTATCTCCTCCATCCCAGCACCATTACCAAATCTTAGTTAGCTAATGGCAGCCACCATAGTAAGAATTACTATAATTTATTTCCCCAAATGACTTACAAAAAACCACTAAGGCAAAAAAATCTGAATTTTTGTAAACTAGTAACTCCAACCTTGCAAACTGGGTATCGACAGGTTGCAGAAGGAACAAAAAGTAGGTAACCTGTGTTCTCTTGCTAAAAGATCTGCTATTCTAAAACCATGAACAATTCATGTATATAAATGAATAAGAGACTACAATTTTTAAACAAGTACTCTGGATAATTCTATAAAGTAATGTCTATTAAAACCATGTAGTGGATAAGTGATTTTTAAAAGAATATGCAATAATTGCTCAGCTTTGCTAAGTTTCTCACTACATCTAAAAACTGCCACGTTTTCTAAGTGGTGATGTAGAGTAAGGACAATAGTTCACCTAGGTGTCAGTTTTGGAAGGACTCAAGCAAGAAGCCAGGGCTGACAACTGTAATCGTTCTGAAATGGCAAATGCAATTCTAGTTAGTGATGAGATGCTGGATCTTACACTGTGCAAAGTCCACGTTTTAACAGAAGAACAAGAGAAACTGCTGCTTTTTGGGTCAAAGTTGGTAATGGACCTATAGCACATAGTGCCAGTAACTGACAGCTAACCTCAGAGAGAATTCATCAGAGTCTATCTGTAGGCTTCCTTTATAGTCACATCCTCCTGTGGCCATACCACATATAAATCTGAGGAAAATGTACAACATGTTCACATGAGAGAGTTTTTCATCAAATCTTGAGAAAAAGAACTATGGCATTTTATTCAATAAAGAAAGGTCAATCTGTCTAACTACATTCTTGATAACTAGAAACATTAATTGCTACGGTAGGACGTTCTTCAGAGAAAGCCTCTAAAATCCAAAACAATTCTATGCTGGCCTCTGAAATGTTCTATCCAGTTCCAGAAATGCATCCTATTAGCAAGTAAAGTAGTTATTACTTATAATGAAATGTAATCATTGGCCAAAATTACAGGTAAATAACTTTTATGACCATCTAAAATTTAGTTTTAAACTTACAAGTTTAGCAATATATATTGAACACTTATATTCAATTGTATAGAATGCAAACCATTTAACCTTGAAACACACTATATAACAAAACTATGGAAATGAGCACACCCCCCCTGCCCCACAAACCAGTATGCTCCCGCATCAACTCTTTAATTGCAATAAATTTAATACTGTAAACAAACATTGAACAAATCAGAGTTCTGTGAAAAGAGTTCTGTGGTTTTAACAAGTCATAATTTTTATGAGCTAAGAGAGTAAAGACAGATGGAATTCTTAGAATTACTTAAAAATAGATTTTTAAAGACAAAGGTCCCTATTCATTCTTATATACACACACAAAAGTTCATCTGTCACAGACAGCAAATGTTGAATTTATACACTGGCATTTTCCTGCTGCATCCTGCACATTTAGGACAATTAAAATAAACAGAAAGTTGTCAAATCTAGGATGGATCACTCAGATCTGCATAAGGTGGAACACAGCTGCTCTCGTGCTACTGCATATGTGCTCACTGCTGTTTCTCAAATGCAAAAACCAAGTAAATACCTAAAAAGAAAGTAAATAAAAGTTAGAGCTTGGTTTCTCACATCCTCAGGGTAAACAGAACATCTCAGTCCTGTTCATAATTCGGTAAAAATTCTCCAGCAGCTTTTGAAGAGGATAAAAATCCCATTATTTCTAAGAGTTCCTCAACTATTTTGAGTGACAGAACTGTATCTGTTTACATGAAAACAAGTACCAACCTACTGTAATATTGAGTGATACAGCCTTTGAGAAAACCAATTCAACAGCTCTGAAAAATCTCTAAAACAGTTTGAGATTAAGAAAAATGGAAAGAATGAAAGCAAAGAAAAATCATATGACATAACTCTTTTCACCTGGAGCAAGAGAGTGAGAATAACAGCACTGTTAGGAGCACTACTGACAGTGGTACTTTTTAAGTTTTCTATTCAGGAAACTAAAAAACAAAAATCTAGTAAGAACAATTTTAAGGAACATATATATGGAGCACAGTAAAATCCATCCAATTATCTAACTGTTGTGTTGTAAGGCCTGGTAAAGAGATAGAGCCAAAGCCCCATGATTGTGGATTCTTTGAGATATTCTTTATCTGGCCCCAACAGTGATATTCCTGCATGAATCCAGCACCTTAAATAAGGTTACCTGCTTTGATGTGTGTTCATTCAAAGACATCTACATACATCTCTGGTTCCCCATTTTGAATCACACTTAAGTTCAAATTCTATTATATATTTTCATAAGATACCAACAGACGTTATGTAAGAACGTATCTGAAAAGATGACAATTCCTTAAAACATTACAAGGATGTTCAGGTGTGTGCTAGGACATTTAAGCAGTGAGTCAAGATAATAGGCAACATAATTTGGCATCCATGCTCCCTGAGATAACTTCAGAACAGGGAACGGATGAACAATAGCAGACCATAAAATAGCCTCCCAATTCTCCATCTTTCTGTCCTTCTGATCCAACAAATACAGGAGTATCATACCATTCTTTTTGAAGTACTACTTTGATCATGCTACTCTCTGCTCCTTATCTATTAGTTCCCCATTTTTCTGCAAGGGAAATGAAATATGGCTGATGTGTAGCAGACAGGTGGACAGAAAACAGGCAGGGTGCTATCAACACTAAAGATTCTTCTAGAGGATAAGGAAGCAAAGCAGTCTAGAACATTCACGAGGATGTCAAAAGATTTAGGACAGGCCAGTATCACATAGCTTGCCCCATACTCCATGTTATCTTTTTGCAGTCCAACCCTGCCAAATCACCCCAGACACACTCATACCTACTGCAAACAACACAGCAGTCCTGACCTGCACTAATATACGGTCATTTCAAAACATTAAGAAGCAGTCTGATTTCAAAACGCCAATTCTTTCCTTTGTAACTCAAACTTCCTGAAAGTCTCAGGTATTGTATAAAATGCTTTCTGCACAGGGCACAGGTATTTCAACTGGGATTTAAAGAAACAAATCTTGAACCACTTCTAAAAGCAAATCGGCAACAATTCTCTATTGTCCTATCACATTTAAAGAATCTTCTAGAGGAGCAGTGAGTTTTGGTAATACTTGCTTAATGATTAGACTAGTAGGAGTTTAAAATATAGCTTCTTACACTTATTAGACTGTGACATCAGGCAGGATGTTCTCCAGCCCATGAAGCCCTCCAGTTTAGAATAGTGTATGCAATTTGCCAAAGAGCAGCAGACTAGTTGATCCCGAGATGGTAGATCCTAGTACAATTTGGCCATTGCTCCTTTCATGCTCTTTTCACATCCGTAATCTGTTTCTTCCTCAACTCTCATGAGTGCCATCCAATTCTTCACTGGCATGTTATCCCTAAAGTCTATATTTAATGTAAAAATACAGTTCTAAACTACAGCCAGTACCACCATCATGACCTTTGCCCAAAGTTGTTTTCCTTACACTCTACTTTGGGATTGGCAGGCTATCTGAGAAAGCTGGCTCACTTCCTCTCTAAACAAAGTAATGCAATGGGTAGTCAATGCACACATTTCTCAGTTTGTCAAAGAAAATCATGTCCCTAATATATCCCCCACTTCCATTTCGAGTAAGGGTACCCATGTTCTAAGACAAACAGGCTCAAAATGTTGGCCCAACCTGTCTTTCCTTTTCCTCTCTCTGTAATTCACCAAATCCTAAGAAAATTTTCTTTCACATGGGGCTTCCATGAGACATGGTCACGAGTACAGATTAGCAATGCGACTTTAATCAAGTTATTTAACTGCTTTCTTATCTGTGAAAAGAAGATAAAACTAATAGTAGTCAACTCACAAGGTTGTGAGGATTAAATGAGTTATAAGAAAAGCTTTCAGTAGTGCTTTGGGTACATGTTAAACACTCAGTAATGGCAAATATGATTATTTCTCAGATTTCATTAGTTTTCATTAATGATAACTCCCCTTCATCTGTTTTCCCCATTACAGTAACTTTAGCACTTAAGACAGTTTGCCTAGTAGTGCATTTGTGTCTGCTTCCAGTGGAAGGCACAAGGTCCTTACTTGTCTACTTTTTTACCCCCCAAAGGACTCTCACAGAACTTAATGTAATACTCAATGTTTTTCAAATGGGTTCTCTTCGATGACCACTGTGCATTCAACATGATCAACAAACATTTAACTGAACAGTTGGAACTACCTTTTAAGTCCACAGGGCAACCATGTAAGGGTATTCTCAAGAATATCCTGCTTACTGCTACTTCACTAAAGGTTCTATTATTTATTATGCTTTCACTGTCAACATCAGAGTGGCCAGATTTATATAAAATCCATAGATGTGTTCTCATATTTCCAACAGAAATCTGATGAAAAGACATCATATACAGATGACTAAATAGTAACAAGTAATCAAAGTGTTTAAGAATGCTTGTGAAAGTCTACCTGAAGAAACATCTTGCATCTATTTTCCCTTAGCACTAAACAGCTGTGTGAGAAAGGGGGTATTACACATACATACAGGGGTTTCTAAACATAAACACACACAACTAATATGTCAGAAAAATTCTAAAGTTTTCAGATTTTAATGATCACTTTGAAACAATCTTTGAAAATATCTGTAAATGTACATAGATGATATACTTACTTGTAGCTTCCCATTCTGATTTACTTAAGGTTCCCTAAAATTACAAAGAAAGAAAGAAAATTTAGATTGAATATGGAAGTACATCTATGCTTCTTTCAGTAATGGACAGAGGTGCCCAAACAACCCTAACTTCACTGAACATATGATTAACTGAATATTGTGATCTGAACATACAGAAGAAATCAGTGACATTAATGTTTAGTGTCATCTTCTTACCACTTTTACACTCCTGCCAAATTCTCTAAACTGCCGATTCTCAAAGGGTGAATTTGTGTATTCCAAGTGTGTGTAACTGGAAAAAGCAACTACATTAAATTTTTAACTTGGAAAATGAAAAATAAAAAAGCCTATCTCAAAACATCAAATAGTATTACAAGAGGAAGATTTTGGTATTTTTACAAAAGGAATCACAAAATAAAGTACATATCATACAAAGGATATAAATTATATTTAAAATCTTATCAAAATACCAAAAAAATCTTTGATACAGTAATATATATGTGCTGCTTCTGCACATACATTGACTAACAAGAAATAATGGTAATTCTAGTAATTACTGTCATTTTGAAGAAGTGATGAACATAAGTAGTTTAAGATGTCACCACAATGTCTGATGAAAATATCTGTGACAAAGTCATGGCTACAGCTAACACTGTGGTATTGCTGCATCCATAATTAAAGAAAATGTGAACTTCCACATAGAAGTCAGTGAAAATGAAGATGGATTTTTTCCCATCTAAGTTCATGAGCTCCTGAATTTTACCTATGGAACACATGAGTTAATAGCACTTAGGTTAAGATAAAATGATATAGCAAGGAATATAACCAAGCCTTAAACTTTTTCTTCATCTTCAGCTATCACTCTATTCACAGTTCATGAAGTACATTTTAACCTATAGCCTATAGATTATAAAAAAATCATCATAACTTAGGGGAAGTGGACTGATTTGTATGTGATCTGTAACTCAGTGAACCCAAGTACTGTTCAAAACCACTGAAATAATTTCCTAAGTTTCCCTATAACATATGCTTTTTTAAATTGGCTATAAAATATGTTAAAAATGAAAACATACCAAAGGTAACCTTACTTGACTGTTTTTCATGTACTTTGCTGCATGTTCATAGTCGTCCACCTTCTCAGAGGCAAGTTTGGAATTCTCGTTTGCAGGATATGGCTAGGGAATCAAAGACAATTCCTAGTTAAGATAGTACAATGAAATTCACAATTCACAATTAAGCACACTAAATCACTGAAATAAAATAACTAAGACAATAGTCCCTAAGTATTACTATAAGAATACAAACTACACATACTTTTGAAATATGGGAAAAAAAATGGGTGAAGGGAATCCTCTAATGAAGCAGTGGTGATGGTCAACTTTGATTGTAATCATAGAATATTTACAGTTGGCCTAAACTACATCATTTTATCACCACCAAGGACCACTTAGCAGCAAACCTGGCATCCTAGGTTTTTCTGTTATAACACAAAGCTGAAAGAAGTTACTATCAAAAGAGCTAAATATTAATTTGAACATTATGATGGTTTAATAGCCATGGAAAGCATTAACAGCAATTAGAAATACAATAAATGAAAAACTCAAGTTGTCAGAGAACACAAGTTCAAGACGATAAATACTCCAGACTTCAAAATATAGGCTGTCTCCATATTTCCACAAGAATCTGAAAGGCCACCCCCAAAAATGCTGTATTAGAGGGTATGCTGGCTAAATGTTTATTCAAATTATCTCAAGCATTATTTTTAATCCATTTTAAGTAATCTCTTTATAACATGGAGTATAGTATTTTTTTGGTAATATATGTCAATCAAAACATAGTGAATTGCAAAGAATACTTACTTAAACAGCCATCTACTCCACAAAAAATATGTATTGTTTGTAATTCCTTTCTTTGTCTCATTACAGCAAACCAGCTAGCAAGGAAACACTTAAGACATAGATCTTTCTGACAAATTTTTAAGAAAATGATCCAGGAATGTCTACTTTGTTATCTTCTTTTCTCCCTTTCTTTATAAATATCCTGCAGAAAGCTCAGATATTAGAAGTTTAGCTATTTGTTTGCTGTTTAAAAAGTGTTTAGCTTTATGAATTCCCATACTGTTACCACTAGCAACTTTACTTTTTATCGCATCTTAACACAAGGGACTTAAGAAATACCACTTTCTATTGCTAAGTTTTTTTTTTTAACTGTCAATGCCATATCTTGTGGTTTTGTCATATCACAAAGCTTCAAAACTTTAATTTGAATGACTGCCAAACTACTCTTTTGGACACATAAGACTCCTCTATGTGATTATTTGCCTGTCACTGGAAGTCTGGTTCCTATCTCCTATTGGCAATTGTAAAAGACCAAACAACATATGATTTATAAAGCTGCAAAACTGCTTTTTCAAAATTTGCTATTATACATACATCCTATTACGTGTCTCTCTCAAAGTAGTTACTATTCCAGTACTATATTCAGGTGAGAAAAAAGAACCAAGTGTCAGGACTTTACAAGTACACCCCCTTGGCTCAAGTCTCTTCATTCTTCCTCCCCTCTGCTGCACTGCTCCAGGAGAACAGAACAAACTTCTGGTTCTTGCTTAAATTCTGGGCCAGCTGAACACTGACAGCTGTAGGAAAGGACTTTTTTAATAGCAAATATCAGAAAACAGACTCATTTACACCGCTGACCTGTACTAAGGCAATACCATTCTGACTGTTCTTTCTGCCTCCCATTGTAACATGTTCTCACCCTTGTTGGGTCATTCCTCTTCCGCTCAAAGTCTTTACAGGCCTGCAGAAGTGACTTGGTGAAGAAGTAGGAAAAACCAAAGGACTTTTTTGAACTACACCCTTTTCTGCTCATGTATGTGTCCCTGGACAGCCACAGTGACAGGTCCTATCCCAAAGGACAGTACTGGGAGAAAAGGAAGAGTGGAGAACCACCGCACTAAAGAAATACTGAAAAGTTCTTAGTGCTTCCTTAAACATCCCCTTCTTATGTTTCTCTGTCTTCACTCTTACAGTTTACTTTCTTCAGCCCTTTAAATATGCACAGCACTTTGAATCTTTCATTACTGCAGTCCTCACCCTGTACTGAATTATTTGCTTATATGTTGATTTCCTCAATATACCATAAATCTTTGAAGGAATGGGACCCTGCTATCCCATATCCCACAGCCTACGTATATTTTTGAATAAGTTACACAAACCAATTAATTACCTACATGCTAAGAGAAAGTATAAATAACTGATTACTGTACACAGAGCACCATGGAGTAAAAATGATGTACTAAGGGCATGCACATGCATTGCAGTTTATGTACACACACATTTTCTAGTTTTCTCCTTTCCTTAAAACTAACAAAAACAAGCCTCTCCTCCTAACATAAAGCAAATACAAGCATTCCTAATTCTAAAATATAGGAAATATAACCAATGAAGAATATAACATTTTAGTGATTATTGGTTTCAAAAGACCATTTAGATTTAAAGACAACGACCCTCTTCTCAAAACTGTGGACAGCGCTATGTGGATACAACTCCACTGGGAGACTTTTGTTTGAAGACCACCTATAAACACTGAAAAAAACCTGAAAGCTAATAGCCATGTGACCTTGAACTAGTCATTTCTCCTGAGCCTCAGACTGCCCATTTACAACTGAAATGTGGCTGCTTTGCTACTTCATGGGAGTAATTATGAGGATAAATAAGAGTATTTATTTATTATTTGTAAGTATCTAAATTTACTATTGAGTATCTAAAGTACTTTAAAAAATTCAAAACTGAATAAACTCTCTACAATTTCATGACCATTTGGGTAATATGATTCTGCTGATCAGTAACAGAAATGCTGAGTATTTTAATCTGTCCAGCTAAACACCAATAAAGGACATAAGGAAAATTCATCAATGGCTACACACTGTTTAAGCTTGAGTAGGCTACCGTAACTGTGGCATCAGGGAAGTACAGAAATCCAGGAGTTAAAGCAGGTCACAGCAACAACACAGTATAAAAGACCCAGATCTTGCTAGCCAGTAACCAAAGAACTAAATTATATTGTATGGTCTATCAGCTCATCTTGGACCTGACTAAGAAAAGTTTTATATTACTAATGTAATCAAAGTGCATTACTGGAAGGAAGTAGTTCTCAACTGGGGGTGATTTTGCACCTGAAGGGACATTTGGCCATGTCTGCAGTCATCTGGGGCTGTCACAACTGGGGGTGGGGGTGCTAGTGGCATTGAGTGAGCAGAGGCCAGGAATGCTGAACTTCCTTAAGTGCACAGAACAGCCCCCCAACAACGAAATTATCCAGTCCAAAATGCCAACAGTCCTGAGGTTAAGAAATCCGATTTAAAAACAGTATTATCTAGAAAACAGAATTTGATGACAGCATCAATGATTCATTCAAATACTTCCTAAGCACCCACCACAGAAAGTTTCTGTGCTGACTCTGTCCTAGAGAAGAGTCTAGAGTACGTTATAAATAACCTGTAATTTATATAAATATTGGCTGTCTACCTGGCCTTGAAAGGAATCTCAGAAACAGCCAAATAAGTTTACCATGACCTTAAACTTTTACACCTTCTCTAAATACTTACCTCAAGGGCCTGCATTCTTTTTAACAGCATTTTGTTTTCATTGTTCTTAATCTTTTCTTCATAGAATTCCAGAAATGTTTTTTTGTAGATTAGTTTCATATTGTACTTCTTCGCCATTCTGTCCAAAAGAGATTACTCAATGAAAAGGCTTCCAAAATCCTTGTAATTCCTCAGTAGCTTACTTTCACACAACAGTGATGGTGACATCTTCTGGGCTTAACTTTTAAGCTAAGATCTCCTCTTTAACTCATTAGAGGATGCTGCATACCATGCAGCTCATACCATGCTCATAAGGAAACATGCATTCTAATGGGTCACAGGTAACTATTAATGTAACAGGTCAGGAAGTAAAATGAAAGGCTGTGAGATGAGAACTAAGAGCTGTAAGGGCACTTTTCTACTGATTCCATGTTACCTGATTGCTCACAGTGGCACTGAGAACAGCTGCCAACTCATTCTTGGTTTCTCTGGCAGAATATACTATTAATTTTTATCCTGCATTTTGGGCTGCTTCTTTGCAATCTCTTTGGCAGGTTTTTTTTAATCCAACTTCTAAATTTAAGGTTCTAAAGAGTTTGGCCCAGAGCCTTACTGCGTTTTCACTTTCCTACTTTACACACCTTACCAGGGGCTCTCCGTAGCTCAGCTGTGTCTTTTGTCACACTCATTTATCCACTGCTTCCTAGAAATGTCTGCCATGATGTGTTCTAGGCATTCTCTAACTTTCCATATCCCAGGCTGAACTCCACTATGTTGTTCTGCTAGCCAATCTTTGCTAGTTCAGTAAATCTAACGATTCATGCCAGAAACCTGGGAGCTCCCCATGCCATCTCCCCCTCTCCTATGCCCACCATATCCTCTCCACTTACCTATAACCTGCCCACCTCCTGCCTCTTCACTGCCCTCCATCTTGCCCAGTCACTATTACCACTCAGCTGCACCACTGCACTTCTTTCCCTGCTTCTGTTCTTACTCCCCCTCAATGAATTTTCTAACTGCAGCTAGACTGAGCTTTCCAATATGCATACATGTATTTTTATGCTCTTCACTGGCTCTCCAGCACTCTTAGGACAGAGTTCAAAAGCCTATGACATGGCTTCTAAGGCACACATTTGTAGGAATGCCACCTCATTTTGAGCCACCTGGTCCATGATTCCTTAAGACCCGGTCCCAGTGGCTGTCCTTCAGTTCCTTGAATGAGCCAAGCTCTTTCCCACTTCAGGGCCTCACACATCTCCCACTACTTGGGACATTCTCCCTTCCAGTCTTCAACTGGCCAACTCCTACTCATCTTTTAAATGTTGACTTAAACATTCCAGGGGAACCCCTTAAATCCTCAATAACATTAGGTCTCCCTATTATACTCTTTTTTTTTCCCTCACAGCATTTGTCAAGTTTATAACTATCTGCAGACAATACAAGGCAGCCTGGGTAAAGACAGTAAAGAGGCAGCAGGTAAATAAGGAGAGGAAGAGAGGAAAAAACTCTGAAAGGGTACATGGGAGTAAACGCTTGTGAGGTAACAGCTGAGGGGAGAGGGTGAAAGGAACATTTGTGAGCCAGTGTGGTTGGTATGTAAGAGGTATATGTGAGACAGGAGTCCCTGTAACTTGAATTAGCCTGCCTTGGACAGACAACATGAGTAAAATTAAAAGTCTCTTCTATTCCAGGCAGTTCATTTTCTATCATAAATCTTCAAAACAAGCCCTTAAGAATGAAACCAAGTTTAACAACTAAGAAATTTCATAATTACAAAGAACTGAAATGGATTTGACCAATTTGAATAGGTTTGCCACATAAAAACTAATGGTATTTTTGTTCAGTTTCTTATGGTAAAATGGCATTTCAAAGTGCCTACACATTTTCAGATTGTCTTACCAAATGATATGTTTCAGTAATTTTTAAAAAATTTAGATACTAAAGTGATGAATTTAAGTAGAAAATTTAAGTGCTTAATGCCAAATGATTTCCCTCATTTGTGGAGTATAACAATGAAGCAAAACTGAAGGAACAAAACAGCAGTAGCCTCACAGACTCCAAAAAGGGACTAGTAGTTACCAAAGGGGAGGGGTGGTGGGGAGAGGGAGAAGGGGATTGAGGGGTATTATGTTTAGTACACATGGTGTGTGGGGGGTCACGGGGAAGACAGTGTAGTACAGAGAAGGCAAATAGTGAATCTGTGGCATCTCACTACACTGATAGACAGTGACTGCAATGGGGTATGGATGGGGACTCGATAATATGGGTGAATGTAGTAACCACATTGTTTTTTGTGTGAAACCTTCATAACAGTGTATATCAATAATACCTTAATAAAAAAAAAGAAAAAGAAATTTAGGTGCTTACATATTAACATTTAAAAAAACCTTTCATTGTATTCTTAATCTTTTTGGGTATACTCAAATGACCAACTTTGTTAACCTAAAATACCAATCTAATATATTAAACACATGAAACAACCTGCTAAAAATACTTTTCTTTTATAAAGTTGAAGAGCAGTATCATATACAAAAGAATACTAATTTTAAGGGGAAAAATGTATTTAAAATTTTTAACTTTTTAGTTTTTAAACTGCGCATAACAATTTTCCTCATGTTAGCTCATATGCTACTTAATTTTCTTGTATTATTGTAAAAAATTTTCAGATATTGCAGAATTCTGAAAATCATATTATACCCTGAATTTCACAAGCTGACTGACAGATAATTCAAATAATCACCAGACAAAAACAAGCAATAAATAAAGCTCTTCTTTTTCCTCAGTTAATAAAACTTCTGTTCTTAAAAAGCAGGAAATCAAGTTCAGTCAACTGTGACATGCCCTACATTAAGTGAACTCTTCCACTCTCCCTATTAGGGAAAACCCCAAGACCAAGATGTCTCATAAAGCCTTGAAGCCTTACCTGATGAAGCCTGGTAGCCGGGCTTTCCCTGTGTCTATGGTTTGCCAGGACTCCTAGGAATTCAGGTGCATGAGTGAATACACTCCTGAATTGGGATTTTATTAGCAACATTGCCTAATTTCAAAGCTTTGTGAAATTTGAAACACCTTTCAATACCTATCCTGTCAAAAGGAGGATTTTGCTCTATGGGACTCTTATTACCAAAGTTACTAGTAGTTACTTGAAAAAAAAGCTTTTTGCTGTTTGCAATGTCAGTTATTTTCTGCCATATGGTGAAGCCAACAGGCTCCCTTTTTTACCTTCTACATAAAATTATTCCAGGAATTAAAGAAAACTAAGTAAGGCTTTTGGAAAACCTATGGCACCAACCCTGAATTTGAGGCTACAAGGTAACCTCTTTCTTTTACAAGGTTATACTTTTTTTGGGGTCTCATTTAAAATGAAAAAGGAATAGAAATGCTGACTTTTTTCCCCTCTCTTCTTTCTCTCTTAAGGCAAAAAGAGAACAGTAACAGATTAATGACATTCTTACTCATTTAGCAATGGAAAATAGACCAAGAATTCAGGGACATCAACAACACCCTCCAAGTTGAAGTCGTATTTGCAGCCAAATAAAGGATAATTTCCTTTCTTCTGAAATTTCACAGTATATATTTCATTTCCAAACGATTCTGTTTCTGAAACTTCAAGGCGTCTTCTATAAAGGTTATCCCCAAACCAAAATAAAAAGATTAAAATTGGTATTAGTTCATTTATTTTGATCAGATTATGTATGTGAACAAAACTATATGATGCAATTTTAAAGACATTTGATTAAGTTTTTAATTGGATGTTACTTTTAAGAAACAATGCACTCAAAGATCATTAACAATCTCACCAGTAAAATTAGATTGCAAGTAGATTTTACTCTCATGACAGCTGGTTAAGCCTCTGTGCCTCATTTCTGACCTGGAGTTAGACTAGCAGTATACCACCTCTGGTTTGATAGAGTATCAATCTCCAACTTACACATGAAAATGTTTTAGGGGTTCATCTGTAAATCTCTTTTGAACTTGTTTTGAGTTTCTACTCAAACACATTATCAAAGTGCTCATCCCTTTTAAGATACACATGGTATGTTTTATAAACTCTATTTCTGATAGTTGTTACTTTAAAATAAGCTTAATGCTGAGTATTTTTTAAACCACAATATATTTAAAAGTACTTACATCAGTTCAAAGCTATTGGGAGTGGTTCCAATAAAATAGCCTCCAGGGCTCAGTCTCCCACAGGCATTTCTGAGCATCATGTCAGCCTGCTCATAGGACTCAAATGAGTAATGACAAACAAACTGACAACTGCAGATGTCAAAGCACATTTCCGGGTCACGGAATTTGTCAATCAAAAGTTCCTGAAATAAATTAAAATGGGCCAAGATTTTGAAGCTAACTGAAACATAAGAACTTTCAGTGATTTCTAGAATTAGAGTCCTTAAAATAAAAGTAGACATGCCCCTCCCACTAACATATCATTTCTGTTATTATGTTTAATAAAGGTCATAATGAAATCTTTAGTTCTGGTTCAACAGAATTTGATTTGTTTTCATAGTCATTTTAAAAACCAGAGATTCTCAAATCATGTTAAAAAATAATCAACTATATTTAAAGGAGTTGATCCTTTCATTTAGCTTTACTTGAAAGTAAAATGATGTTGAACAGTAACTAGGTTTAAAAAAAAATACAAAGCTGGCCTTTGGAACATTTTTTTAAACGCCAGTTTCCAACTTCCTAGAAAAATACTACCACTTCTCACTTTCACAACTGCAAATAAAATGTGTAGAGTTAAAGGTACTTATAATAGTTTAATGAGGTAGCAAGTCAAAGAACATAAAGTTAAGCTGAGACTTTCACTATTCAAGTGTGTCTTAGTTCTTAACTGTCATAGTTGTAAAGAGATTCAGAGACAGGAAGAAGGTGGATAACATCAGACTCTGATATGTTGGGACACTATTCTAGTAAATTACAAGGTGAACAAATTTATATTCTAATACATTACTGGTAAGTCCAGTTCTATTTCAAAACACTGGAAGATAAATCTTGTGCAAACAGGAAAGTGACAAACTATTTAAAAAATTTAAATTATTAAAAGCAAGCAATTCCCAGAAGAACTTGGGTAGATTTAGCAAAATTTACCAGAAACAGAATTGAAACTGAAAATGTATATCCTAAGATTTTTAATGCTTCAGAGCACATTTTTAAAAAAGAGCTGTTTTTAAAACAAATCATTTACTGAAACTAAAATTTAAAAAAGTAACAAAATAACCAAAAAATCCTATACCTTTGAACTATCAGCAATTATAAATTCTGCATTGAAAATATATTCATTATCACGACAACGGTTTTTCATGTCCTCATACCGCTGCTGACATTGTTTGACAGAAATATCAGCAATATCTGGAAGGGAAACAGGTGTTAGTAACTGTCAACAAAGACCCACAGAGAGAAAATGTAAACGCAAAGATGGCACAAATCTAGACATTAATCTCAACAGATAAACTATGGCATGAAATCAAACCTTAGTACACTAAAAAGGTTTTTTCCTTCAAAGAAGAAAAACTCTTTGATGCAATGCAAATGCCCTATAGTTTTTCAAAAGGATTAAAAGCTTTCTTAATAGACACTGGCAAGTTCTATCACGATTTTTAAATGCTTATCACAAATTAAAAGTTGGAAGTTTAGATTCAAATTTGTTATAAAACCTAACACTATACAACCAACTTTGGAAATATCAAGTTTTTTCTTAATAAAATGTATTTGCCTTTTCCTTGTGTTGAGATTCGCACTGATGATGCAAAAGCAATGGTGGGTAAAATGCTGGTACCTCAATCATGAATACAAGGTAGTAACACCAAATAGTATTGGTAATAGTTAATGCAGTCTTCACTACTATAAACTAGCATAGGAAAAAAAAGCCAATTTCATTTAAGAATGTCCTTGATAAACCAGTAAAAATTAACTTTATTAAATCTTGGCTCTTGAATACATGTTTTCCATATTCTGTGTAATGAAATGGAAAGCAGTAAAATGTTTCAGCTATATAAAAATGTCTGATCAGGAGTGGGGTAACTGCCTTTTGAATTGTACTGGCCACTTTTTTCAAAGAAAACTGTTTTCACTTGAACCATGGACAAACTGGTTATTCAACTTGGCAATCTGGCAGACATTTTATTTTCTTGAAAATGAAGAAAGTAAGCCTGTCACTTCAAGGAAAACAACACACGGTATTTATTACCAATGATAAAATCTGAGCTTTCAAGTGAAAATTACAATTCTGAAAAACTCGTCTCTACCACCATGGGCTGGGCATCTTGCCAATGCTCAAGACTTTTCTGACTGTTAGTGATATTAAACAAATGTCATTTTTTAATGTCAACATTAGACATCATTTCTTGATGTCAACATAACTTAAGTGAACACTACTTCTCCAAATTAGAAAATCTTGCAGGAAAAAACATCCATTCAAATTGCAATGTAGACTAATGGATTTAAATATAACAAATTATGAAAAGTTCATCTATATGAATTCAGATTCCACACTGTAAATGACCTTGAAGGAACTACCATTTGTGATGTTCTGATATAGTACCAAAGATGAATATCCTCAGTTATCAGAAATGCTATTGAAAGTCCTTCATTTTACAAGTACTTATCAAATAAAGTAACATATCAAAACATGGAATGCAGTAAAAGGTGTGAGAATGCAATTGTTTCCTCTACTATTCCAGACTTGAGATTTGCAAACACTTTTCAAAATTCCAGTCTTCTCACTAAATGTTATTTAATTAAAAATACTTTTATAATTCTCCATTTTAATGTCTATAATCAATAGATAGAACCACATACACAGCAGCTTTCAGGATCCTCAATTATTTTTTAAGCGTGTACAGTGGCCATAAATCCAAGAAATTTGAGAAATGCCAATCTAGGCAATACTTCATAGGTGGTGCCATGTACTTCCTGTTAATCATCACAATGGAAAGAACAGGAAGTCTCCTGTCATCATTCTTCAGTGTGAAAACTGAAGAGTGGATTCAGAGATTTGACTCTTTCAGTTATTAAGTTTCTATCAACCTTTCACCTAAAAGCTTTCACATCTTTTTATGCTTATTGCTTACATCTATTATTGCATGAAGGATAGAAAATAGTGATTGTCATCATTTCTCCTTTATTATGATTTTCAATAAAAAGGAATTCCCCTTTTCCTACATTTGGTTACCTTGAAATATGGTTCATATACAGTAGGGAAGATAAATATTCAATCTTTCTCCCTCCCACACTTAATTTCTGAATTTCAGATTAATGAGTAAGCTTTCTAGCAAACTCCAAGGGTGAACAAGATGTTTCCTTTTATTTGATGTGTTTCAGTCCACTGTAATCACACACCTTTTAATGAAGAAATTGTTCTATCTTTGGCCAGTGGAAGCCTTTTCAAGTTTGTGCTTTAAACATGACTTCAATCATCTTTCATTGCTTCTTTCTTTTAGGATTATAACACCATTGTTAATGTATCACAACTCATTTTAAGAAACACCTATCTCATGTGTACCCCCTAGATATCTTGTCATAAGATATTTTAGTGTCATTGGATAATCAGGTCCTTCTTATTTTCCACTTACCTAACTGGCCACAAATTACTCTTTCACATGCCATTTTTTATCTTACCAGTACAAACGAGCCTGCTAATTCTTCCCTTTTTCCACTTGAGCAAATCTCCGCCTTTACCACATCCCAGGTCCAAAACAGTGATATCACGTTTCTTTTTCTGTCGTACCTTTTCTAAAAATTCTCCTAAAAGAGAGAAATGTCATAATAAATGATCTCTTCTCCATTTTTACTAAAGTATAAATTGTTATGCCTCTAATAACTAACTTTTGCCCAACACATAAACTACTAAATGTTCATTTATGTAATTATATAATTATAACTTATATATTTATATAAGTTATATAAATGTAACTTTTGACAAACATTTTGAAATATAACTAAGAGTTAATAACTTGATCCTCTAGTACTAAACATGCAAGAGTATGTGTCTGGTATTTTAAAAAATTTAAACACGTTTTTGAAGGTTACTTTCAGGATTTGATTCAACATTAAATATCAGCTATTTTAATTAATAATTAATACAAGATGACTCAACACTTGTTCGTAAAACACTTTTTTTTTGCAATTTTCCCTTTCCAAAGCATTTAGCTTATTATATACTTAAGTAAATCAAAATAATTACGGGATAAGACTATTTGATTTTCATAAAAAATGTCAGGTTTGCCACCAAAAGAAATATAAGAAACTACTCAAAAAATTACACATTCCTCCCAATTTTACTGTCATCAGAATTCTTAAACACTTTTAAGTAAAAATGGAATCTTTCATCCCATTCTACAAAATCACATTAACAGCCAATGATTATCAGCAGATCTCCATACATCCATAGCCAAATGGTTCAAATATTAAAGGTATACTAACACTTTTAGACAACTAAAGTATTCAGCAATTTTAAAACTTGATACAATCCTAAATCCTAGATCTACTCTTCCTGTTTGAGTTTAACTCTTCCTATTTCATGTGTACTATTTCTGACTGCTAAAATATTCTGTGTAAATACTTCTGCTTTTCACTATCCATAGGATCTTGCTTTCAACAGAAGCACAAGTATTCCATATTTAACTTTCTGCTATGAATCTTAAGAAAACAGCATTAAACAACATTGAAACAGTGAAAAACAAGAATTACAAAAGCTCTTTATTTCCACATAGTAAAACTAAAGACAGGGGAAGTGATCACCATAAATCAAAGATAATCTTTATCAAATTCAAGAAGAGCACTCAACTAGTTACTGAGCTATAAGCACCAACAAGAAAGAGAAAATGAATGACAACGAATGGGTGTTGAAAAGAGAAAGGAAAAAAGCCAGAGAAGCAGCTGGCACAGGCCACCTGGACTGCATTAGGACCACAAGGACAAGTGCAGATAGCAAACAACCCACTGAGACAGCTGCTGGAACAACTGAAAAAGGAAAGAAAAACATGAATATGCTGACATCTAAATTTTAAAGTCTGACTTAAGTCTTTTTAGAAATTACCAATTTTCCTGATTATAAAGATAATACAACTAACAATGTAGAAAATATGGCTGAACTTAAAACACTTTACTGTGAAAAAGTTCTAAACACACTGGCTTTTAAAAATTCTCTAAACTCATGTAAGAATATGACTTTAACGTACTAGAAATATATAGGAATAAATACATTCTGAATCCTTTCCTCCACTGACATCCATTTCAACTTCAAAGGTGAGCTTCCATAGGTAAAATACTGGCTGCAAAAGTGGAATGTCTTCATCAATCTTCAAAGCACACTTTATTTCTCCCCAGTTACCGCACAAGAAAAACAAGTTCACTGAACAGTCAACACACATGACCTTCATCAATTCATTAAAGGCCCAGAGGTAAAATATCATGATGCTGTCCATTTTCTTGACTTAATGGAACTTGAAAGTTTAATCCAATACTACGTCATTGCTCCAAAAGCATTAGAGTAGAATAACCACTGATTAGCACTAGGTAACCTTAGTTTTAAGTTAAAAAGAGCACATTGCCTTTTGAAAGCCTGATTATCAACTTAGTATCAATCAAAAACATTAATATCTTATGTAGTCAACCAAAAATAAATATGAGAAGAATTTATCTCAAATACCTAGTTTTAGTTTTGACTCCAGTTTTAAAAAGTCAAGGTTTGGTAATTAAATGAATCAGAATTAAAGACTTAGTACGTAGTGTACGATTAACCCTTTTGGGAGAAAAAAAAACAGGACATAAGCTGAAACAAAAAATTTCAAGCTATAAATGAAAAAACAATCTTACCAATGAGGACACTTTTCATCCAATTATTAAAGTTTCTTAAGTAAAAAATACGACTTTGGCTACGCTTCTCCAAACCAACTTCCTGAAGTTCATTGTAGTGGGCAGCCACAGCTGAGCTGTGTCCTTCTTCCAAGTTCTGAAAATAAGAGAATGGAACAAAACTAAGGATTAGAACATGGCAAAAATAAGCCTAAAGAGCATCTGACCTATGTAAGGATAAAATACCACTGGCATGGATAAGCTTCACTAAGCAATGAACCACAGAAATTCCACTAATTATAATCAGACATAAGATTTGTTTTCCCTCTTTCCCTATTTTTAAAAACATCCTGGTTTAAAATTTTCATCTTGCTCTTTCATCTGTATAATTTTGGTGTCAATGTCTTAATAAAAACAGTACTCTGCAAAAGTTCTGATTTATTCAATAAATGCCAGTCAGTGGATGAGGTTCTTACAAAAATAAAATTATATTTATTATATTATTAAAAAATTGTTGTATTAAATGAAATAATATACACAAAGTGATTAGAACTCACATTATATTCAGTGTCAGTGATTTCTATTATTTGCTATTAATCTAATTCAATAATTTCCTTTTGTACTCCCTATTTAAGACCCTAAAAGTGCCAGGCTTCAGATCCCCCAACTTCCCTATTCAACCGAAGTGCTTCACTTTTGACCTATTTTACATATTAAGTTTAAGATTTTTCACTTGAAAAAAGGGATCTCTTGCTAGTAAAAGTTTGAAAACTGTGTTTATAATGCACGTTTGTCACTCTACCAATGACAGATGCCTAGCTTATCTACCACTTTCCTCTTCAAGGCTGATGGCAGGTTTTTACTCATTTAATGAAATAACACTAAATACTCTTTCTGTCCAAATCCAGATTCTGTCCTTCACAATATAGTATTCCCAGATGGAAAGGACCTGCTATCCCTTGCTCTGTAATATCCCTGCTACTTATCAGGCTTTTGAAAACACTTACATAAAATGTATGTAACTACCCCCAGTAAGTTGGAAACAATATAGCTTAAGGTATTAAATTAAGAAAGTACTGTAAAGCTGGGTATCATCTTCAAATTTATCATTTTTAGTGACAATCTCAATTACTTCACACAAAAAAGATGAACACCTAATAAAAAGGGAAAAAAGGCAAATCATCTGAACCTTATACTCTTACCTTTTTTAAAACAGTAAGGAAATGCAAACAATAAAAACTAGCTATCAAGGTTCAAGTTAAATAAAGAGTCCTGAAATAGCATAAAAATTATTTCATTAGCAGAAATTTCACATATATAAAAACAATTACAAGAGTTTTAAAAGCCTACATTCTATCTTAAGATATAATTTATTAGAAATAGAACATTCTTAACTTAGTAAGATTATGTAAAAACCAGTATTATTTCACAGCTGCTCCGATTTTCAATCTGGCATATTCCATTACAAATAAAAGAAAATAAATTCAACATACTTTGTGCCTTTCAGGAGCATCCTTGAGTTCTATTTTTCTCTTTTTCTTAGTACCATCTTCAGCAGAAGGTTCATCTTTTGGAAAATCCTTAATTTCCAGTCTTCTTTTCCTTGAAATACCTTCATCATCACCAGACCCTTTTTCTTCTGGGACAGTTTCATCATCAAGTTTTCTTTTCTTGTATGTAGAATCTTCCCCACAACTAGAACTCTCCTTTACAAGATCATCTTCAAACTCCATTTTTCTCTTTTTTAGTGTGTCTACCTGCCCGCAGGTAGGAGCCTCTTCAGAAAGTCCAATCCCAAGAGTGGTTGAGATTTCATTAATATTGAATGAAGACACTGTTCCTGAATTTATTGGTGCTTTTGCCTCTTCAAGAGAGATCTCTGCACATTCCTCTGCTTTTGCAGAATTTTCCATTTTTGATTACTTACACCATAAAATTTTATGAACTAACACTGGAATGGCAAAAATGTGATATTATTTGTAAATATAATAATGAGACTTTAAACAATTTAACCAGCAAGTAGCCACTTAATTTCAGTGATCAAATAGTTTAAAAAAAATCATTATAGAATATTGAAAACAATGTTAATTGATATATATTACACAGGAACTTCTGAATATGCTAATATGGAAGCGCTAATTATAATCCCCAAACACTTCTACAATCTTAACCACAGAAGTCACTATTGGCATGGAAACTGACAAATATAGTAGGGGTACTATGCAAGTAATAGTTCCATTTCTATTCTGATCCTTATTTTACAGACTTGATTCCCAAACTGTGTGCTGGGCACTGTAACAAACATTCAGAAAAAGCAGGATATTTCAAAACATTAAGGGAAAGAGTAGAATCTGACATGTGCAAGAAATCACAGATACAGCTTCAAACAGCACAGTTTCAACAAGTATACTGTGTTACCTTTCTTATCAGTAACATTAGAACTCTGTGGAGCTGAGATTTTGGTGGTACCAGAGAATATCAATGTGAAAAAGGAAATAAAGATGGTGAACTCAAATCTAATTCAAGGTTTGAGAAGTTGTCTAGTACCCAACAGGTGACCCACACTATTAGTAAGCACTAGTGGTTAACTAAGAATTAAACACAGAATTATTTTTTCTTTAAATTTGCATATTAAAAAATTAAGTTATGAGGACATAAATACTACTAAATTTTTTTGGAGTAAACTACTAAAGTGGTACTGCTAGGTATTTGTTTTGGCCTAGTAATACTGAAAAAAGTCAGAGACATTAAGGCCACCAACAGGAAAAGGCTGGGAACCTACAGATGACTTCTGAAATCCTTATTTCATAATGGCTGTCAGAATTAGGTAGAAAATGATGAGAGAGAAAAGGCTTTGGACAGAAGTTTCAAAACCCAGCCTGCAACTTAATGATCATTAAGTTTCTTTCCAATATTCTTAGGCCTATGTGTACAATAGGAGGGGGAGGAGGGAAGAGATAAGTGAACCTATCTTTTGGACAGGAAGTCATTCAACAAATTTACTGAACTACAGAGGAGCTCAATGAGGCACTGCGTATACTAGTCTCCAAGAAGTTTACAGATTATATACCACTATTAAAGTATTAGGATGTACTATTCAATCCAAATGAAGAAGGGAGAGAAAAAAGTCCAAACAACAGTGAGATTCAGCAAACTCAGAACTGGAAAGTTATGGAGGGGGTGGGAGGGCAAAAGTCTTTTCAATAAAGAAATTAAATAAGAAATAAAGCTGCTCAAGGGAATTAGTCAAAATAACTCACTATAAACCCAGAAGGATTTAGAAGATAATAGTTTTCACTGTCCAAGATTTGAAGTAAAATACCAAGGCATACCAAAGCAGGAAGAACTGAATCAGAGGGAAAAAAATCACCAAGAAATGTAGTTTTCAGAGTAACTTCTTAAAATGCTCACCTAGTAAAACCCAATTATCAAGTCCCTACCTCCTCCTCCCTGCCATTTATTTCCTAAAAGAGAAATAGAAATAGGTTTTAAATTGAAATAAACCAATGTGATTTGTCACCTTTAACTATAATTAATCGCTAAAAATTAGTATCAGGAATGAGAATGAACTTTATATTACTTCTGTAAGTGAAATGTCACAAAAACATAATCAGAGTCCTGATTCTCAAGATGGCAGCATGAGTAGGGTGGTGGAAATCTCTTCCCAAAACCATATATATTTTGAAAATACAGCAAATACAACTATTCCTAAAAAAGTGACCAGAAGATACAGTATTACCAGTCAGGCTACATCTCAACATCTCATGAAAAGGGTAAGATACAAAGCCGTGACCTGGCAGGACCCAAGCAATTCCCCCACCCCAGCTCACCAGAGGGAGGAAAAGAATCAGAGTGGGGAGGGAGTGGAAGCACAGGACTGCTAAATAACGAGCCCTAGTAATCTGCACCAGGAACACAGACACACATTGCATGGTGTACTGGATATTAGAAGAATGGAAAAGTAAAATCCAAGACTTAGACTGCAAACAGGTTCCCACAGCTGGCTGCCCTGGGACAAAAGAAAAGTGGGCGCTTTAAAAGTCTTAAAGGGACAAGGGTTTAACAGGTGGACAAAATTGTCCTGACACACTCAACCCAGTAGGCTGGGAACTTTAAGGAACTTCAGGCGCCTCAACCCCCTGGGTGGCAACATAGCTCCAAAGCCCCTCACAGTGATAAGCACCCTGCCATTCATTTCCCCACGCCAGTACTGCAAGCAAACTGGCTGATGCGCCATTGCTGCAGAGCAGCCCCGCCCACAGCAACCACACAGACACTTCTCCCAGTATGCAGCGAACTGGGACAGACCCAGAGGCTGCGCAGTGCCCACAGTTGACCAACACAGACAGTGGAGACCGACACAGAGTCTGGAAGGCACAAAGGGGCTTTATTCTCTCAGCGAATAAGCGCTGCTTGATTGTAACCCCCGCCAGTGCCCTAGGCCATCCTGAGGGCCGCCCCACCAAGGGCAGCTAAGGAGATTAACCCAGAGGATGCCACCTACACCCACCTGACCAGCACAGCAGAGGAAACTGGCATGGAGTCCGCAAAGGATGTACGGGCTCTGGCCTTGAGGTGAACATGCACTGTGGGCTTGCAACCACCGTCAGTGCCCTAGGCCATCGCGAGGGCTGCCCTACCAATGGCAGCTCAGGGGATCAACCCAGACACTGCTACCTGTGTGCGGTTGCCCAGCACAGGGAGCAGAGACAAGCCCAGAGTCAGGAAAGCAAATGGGGCAATGTTCATGTGGGAGAACACATGCTGTTCACCTGCAACCCCTGCCAGTGCCCTAGGCCATCCTCAGGGGATTAACCCAGGGGCTGCTCCCTGTGTGCAGTTGACTGGCACAGACAGCGGAGATGAGCAAGGCAACCAGCAAGCAGGAAGGGACTTTGTTCTCCCAGCTGTCATGCACCACTTGTCGGCAATCACATCCATCCCCATGAAAGACAGAACGTTGTTCAGTCCAAAATCCCTCAAACACCAGAAAGAGGGCCTGGTGAGACTGAAAACACCAATATTTCTGAAAAAGAATTCAAAATGAGAGTCATAAGCATGCTGATGGAGCTACAGATAAATATACAAGTCCTAAGGGATGAATTCCAGAGGGAGATAAAAGAAATGAAACAAACGATGGAAGGATTTAAGAGAAGACTGGATGAGGTGCAAGAGACTGTTAATGGAATAGAAATCAGAGAACAGGAATAGAGAGAAGCTGAGGCAGAGAGAGATAAAAGGATCTCTATGAATTAAAGAATATTAAGAGAACTGTGTGACCAATCCAAATGGAACAATATTTGCATTATAGGGGTACAGAAGAAGAAGAAGACAGAAAAAGGGATAGAAACTGTCTTTCAAGAAGTAATTGTTGAAAACTTCCCCAATCTGGGCAAGGAAATAGTCTTTCAGACCATGTAAGTCCACAGATCCACAACACAAGGGACCCAAGGATGACAACACCAAGTTATATAATAATTAAAATGGCAAAGATCAAAGATAAGGACAGAGTATTAAAAACAGCCAGAGAGAGAAGAAATATCACCTACAAAGGAAAACCCATTAGGTTATCATCAGACTTCTCAGCAGAAACCTTACAGGTCAAAAGAGAATGGCATGATATATTTAATGCAATGAAACAGAAGGTCCTTGAACCAAGAATACAATATCCAGCAAGATTATCATTTAAATTTGAAGGAGGGATTAAACAATTCCCAGATAAGCAAAAGTTGAGGGAATTCACCTTCCACAAACCATCTCTACACTGTATTTTAAAGGGACCGCTCTAGATGGAAGTTCTCCCAGGGCTAAATAGATGTCATTTGAGAAAATAAATATAAGCAAAGAAAGCAGACCTACCAAATACTAACTAAATGCAAAATCAGCTATCCACAAATACAGCCAGGAGAAACACAAAAGAGTACAGAATAAAATACCTAACATATAAAGAGTGGAGGAGGAAGAAAAAGAAGGGAGAAAAATAAAGAATCATCAGACTGTGATTATAATAGTGTAATAAGTGAGTTAAGTGAGATGGTTAGATGGTAAAAAAGCTACCCTTGAACCTTTGGTAACCACGAATCCAAAGCCTGAAATGGCAATAAATACATATCTATCGATAAACACCCTAAATGTAAATGAACTGAATGCACCAATCAAAAGACATAGAGTAACAGAATGGATAAAAAAGCAAGACCCATCTATATGCTGCCTACAGGAGACTCATTACAAACCCAAAGACATACACAGCCTAAAAGTTAAGGGGTGGCAAAAGATATTTCATGCAAACAATAGGGAGAAAAAAGCAGGTGTTGCAGTACTTGTATCAGACAAAACAGACTTTAAAACAAAAAAAGTCACAAGAGATAAAGGACATTACATAATGATAAAGGGGTCAATCCAACAAGAGGATATAACCATTATAAATATCTAGGCACCCAACACAGGAGCACCTACATATGGGAAATAAATACTAATAGAATAAAAGGAGGAAATAGTATGCAATGCATTCATTTTAGGAGACTTCAACACACCACTCACCCCAAAGGACAGATCAACCAGACAGAAAATAAGTAAGGACACAGTGGCACTGAACAACACATTAGAACAGATGGACCTAACAGACATCTACAGAACTCTACACCCAAAAGCAGCTGGATACACATTCTTTTCAAGTACACACGGAACATTTTTGAGAACAGACTACATACTAGGCCACAAAAAGAGCCTCAGTAAATTATAAAAGATTGAAATTGTACCAGCCAACTTCTCAGAACACAAAGATAGAAAACTAGAAATATATTGTACAAAGAAAACAAAAACACTAACAAACAGCATGGAGGCTTAACAACACACGCCTAAATCATCAATGGATCAATGACCAAATTAAAAAAGAGATCAAGCAATACACGGAGACAAATGACAACTACAGCACAAAGCCACAACTTCTGTGGGACACAGTGAAGGCAGTTCTAAAAGGAAAGTATACAGCGATCCAGGCCTATTTAAAGAAGGAAGAACAATCCCAAATGAATAGTCTAAATTCACAATTATTGAAACAGGAAAAAGAAGAACAAATAAGGCCCAAAGTTAGCAGAAGGAGGAGCATAATAAAGAAAAGAGAGGAAATAAATAAAATAGAAAAGACTAAAACAATAGAAAAAAAATCAATGAAACTAAGAGTGGCTTCTCTGAGAAAATAAAAAAAAAGATAAACCCCTAGCCAGACTTATTAAGAGAAAAAGAGAATCTACACACATAAAGACAATCAGACATAAGGAAGGCAAAAATCATGGCGGACACCACAGCAACACAAAGATTCATTAGAGAATACTACGAAAATCTATATGCTAATTAAGTGGATAACCTAGAAGAAATGGACAATGTTCTAGAAAAATACAACCTTCCAAGACTGACCAAGGAAGAAAGAGAAAATCTAAACAGACCAATTACCAACAACGAGATTGAATCAGTGATCAAAACACTACCCAAGAACAAAACTCTAGGACCAGATAGATTCACCACTGAATTTTATCAGACACTTAGAGAAGACATATACCCATTCTCCTTAAAAATTTTCCAACAAGTAGAAGAGGAGGGAATACTCCCAAACTCATTCTATGAAGCCAGCATCACTCTAATACCAAAACTAGGCAAAGACAACACAGAAAAAGAAAACTACAGACCAATATCCCTGATGAACATAGATGCAAAAACACTCAACAAAATATTAACAAACCGAATTAAAAAATACATCAAGAGGATCATGCACCATGATCAAGTAGGATTCATCTCAGGGATGGAAGGATGGTACAACATTCGAAAATCCATCAACATCATCCACCACATCAGCAAAAAGAAGGACAATAACCACACGATCATCTCCATAGATGGTGAAAAAGCATTTGACAAAATTCAACATCCATTCATGATAAAAACTCTCAACAAAATGGGTATAGACAGCAAATACTTCAACATAATAAAGGCCATATAGACAAACCCACAGCCAACATTATACTTAACAGCGAGAAGCTGAAAGCTTTTCCCCTAAGATAGGGAACAAGACAAGGAAGCCCACTCTAGCTGGTTTTATTCAACATAGTACTCAAGGTCTCAGCCATGGCAATCAGACAACACAAAGAAATAAAAGGCTTCCAGATTGGTAAGAAAGAAGTCAAACTGTCACTGTTTGCAGATGACATGATACTGTACGTAACAAACCCTAAAGAATCTACTTCAAAATTACTAAAACTAGTATCTGAATTCAGCAAAGTTGCAAGATACAAAGTTAATACACAGAAATCTGTGGCATTCTTATAAACTAACGATGAACTAGCAGAAAGAGAAATCAGGGAAACAATTCCATTCACAATTACATCAAAAAGAATAAAATACCTAGGAAGAAACCTAACTACGGAAGTGAAAGACTTATACTCTGAAAACTACAAGACACTCTTAAGAGAAATTAAAGAGGACACTAATGAATGGAAATTCATCCCATGCTCTTGGGTAGGAAGAATTAATATTGTCAAAATGGCCATCCTGCCCAATGCAATCTACAGATTCAATGCAATCCCTATCAAAATACTGAGAGAATCCTTCAACGAACTGGAACAAATAGTGCTAAAATGCATATGGAACCCCAAATGACCCCAAATAGCCAAAGCAATTCTGAGAAGGAAGAATAAACCAAAGGGGATCTCGCTTCCCAACTTCAAGCTCTACTACAAAGCCACAGTAGTCAAGACAATTGGTACTGGTACAAAAACAGACCCACATACTAGTGGAACAGAATAGAGAGTCCAGATATTAACCCAAGCATATATGGTCAATTAATATATGACATAGGAGACATGGATATACAATGGGGAAGTGAGAACCTCTTCAACAAGAGAATAAAACTGGATTATTGTCTAATTTCATACACAAAAGTAAACTCAAAATGGATCAAATACCTGAATGTAAGTCATGAAACCATAAAACTCTTAGAGAAAAACATAGGCAAAAATCTCTTGGACATAAACATGAGCAACTTCTTAATGAACATATCTCCATGGGCAAGGGAAACAAAAGCAAAAATGAACAAGTAGGACTACATCAAACGAAAAGGCTTCTGTACAGAAAGGACACCATCAGTAGAATAAAAAGGCATCCTACAGTATGGAGAATATATTTGTAAATGACTTACCCAATAAGGGTTTGACATCCAAAATATATAAAGAACTCACGCACCTCAACAAACAAAAAGCAAATAAGCCAATTAAAAAATGGGCAAAGGATCTGAACAGACACTTCTCCAAAGAAGAAATTCAGATGGCCAACAGACATGAAAAGATGCTCCACATTGGTAGTCATCAGAGAAATGCAAATTAAAACCACAATGAGATATCACCTCACACCAGTAAGGATCGCCACCATCCAAAAGACAAACAACAGCAAATGTTGGCAAAGATGTGGAGAAAGGGGAACCCTCCTACACTGCTGGTGGGAATGTAAACTAGTTCAATCATTGTGGAAAGCAGCATGGAGGTTCCTCAAAAAACTCAAAACAGAAATACCATTTGACCCAGGAATTTCACTCCTAGGAATTTACCCTAAGAACGCAGTAGCCCAGTTTGAAAAAGACATACGCACCCCTATGTTTATCACAGCACTATTTACAATAGCCAAGAAATGGAAGCAACCTAAGTGTCCATCAGTAGATGAATGGATAAAGAAGATGTGGTAGATATACACAATGGAATATTATTCAGCCATAAGAAGAAAACAAATCCTACCATTTGCAACAACATGGATGGAGCTAGAGGGTATTATGCTCAGTGAAATAAGGCAGGTGGAGAGAGAGAAGTATCAAATGTGTAATATAAGAACAAAGCAAAAATTGAAGGAACAAAACAGCAGCAGACTCACAGAACCTAAGAATGGACTAATAGTTACCAAAGGGAAAGGACTGGGGAGGATGGATGGGAAGGCAGGGATAAGGGGAAAAGGGGTCATTTGGATCAGCACACATAATGTAGGGCAGGGGGCACAGGGAGGGCTGTATAGCACAGAGAAGACAAGTAGTGACTGTAGCATGTTACTATGCGGATGGACAGTGACTGTAATGGGGTATGTGGTGGGGACTTGATAATAGGGGGAGTGTAGTAACCATAACGTTACTCATGTAATTGTACATTAATGATACTAAAATAAAAATAAAAATAAAAAAAGAATAATGATAATTTGAAAGTGATTAAAAGATAAAATAAAAAAACATAATTCGGTGAGAATAGACAAGACAGAATTGTAAATGATGGCAGAAATGGGTAAGAATGTTTAAAACCAGCGTCAAAGTGGAACAATGAATAAACTCCAAACTCAAGAGAGTTGCCCCTCAGAATCTTTGAGAAAGGAGTGTAGGGTAGTTAACTGACAAAGAAATGGATATGCATGAAATGACCAAATAGGTATTTTGACTTGGCTTTCCAGTCACGTGAAGCCACGTCTCCGTCACTACGTTTCCCAGATAACCACGGAGCAGGACGACAAGGCCGCCGGGCTCCTCCACAAGCAGGGCAAGCTCGAAGCCCTGATTCGCCTGCTGGACGGGGTCAACTCGTGGGCCCAGCTCGGGGGCCGTTAAGAACGCAACAGAGGCGTGAAGTGAATTCTCCAGCCAAGTTCACCCTCTTCAATCCTCGGCGCACCTAAATCCTACTAAACTCGCCGCTCAGGTTTCCGAATAGCCGCTCAAGACATTACAGACGATTCTTCGGTTCCGACAACCCATCCCCAGCCCGTCCTGTCAACGCGGCCCTGGGTTGCGGCGTGATGCCGCTCTCTGGGCTTCTCCAGAGCCGGGTTCGCTCGGTTTGGAGGAATCACAGCGCCCGCACTCTCACAAGTAGTGCCCGTTTTCTTTCGGGCTGGGGGCACAACAAAGCCCTAGTAATGGGTCTGAATGCACAGGGCTAATGCGAAAGCAAGGCCCCGTCAGGAGTAACTGGAGCGCCCCTTCTACTTCCGCGGCAGCGGCGGCGGCAGCTGCGGCGGAGGGGCTACAACCAAAGAAGAAACGAAGGGCCAGAGCTCCAGCCACCACTCACCGATACAGCTATCCACCATTCTGTTTGCGGAAGCGGCGCCTGCGCCACGCGAGGTTTGTACGCCATTTCCGGGAGGTGCGCGGGTCACATGATACCGCTCTCAGCCCTGAGTGGAGTGCCTCGCGGCCGTTGAGTTCCGTCGTGCCACGCACGGCGGCTTGCTGAGGGACGCGCCGTGCGGGCACGCGCGGTCGCGAGCACGTTGCTCGCGGATGCGGTTGGCGGGGCTGGGGTTGGCGGGCCTGGGGTTGAAGAGCGATCGTCTTTCGGCGTCTTGACCCATTTTTGGTTCGGTCACTTTTGAGTGACACCTGTGTAGCATCTGAGTGCTCTCGTCCGGCCTGTGCAGCGGGAAGCAGCGGCGGCTTCAACGTCCTAGAAGGTAGCCCGGGCCCAAAGTTCTTGGGGCAGCGGGAGGCGTCGGAAGGGCACCTTCAACCCCGTACACGTGCTGGAGCAGACCCGGGCGCGCCCCTCACGGGCGGCGACGTGGTTTCGCTTGCGGGGCCAGGGTCATCCACGTTTGCCCTCCCCACCTCAGCCGCCGGCCGATGGAAGTCTCCTCCTGCCGCGTGCCAATCCTTCCTTTGGGACTGTTCTTCAGCCTTAGGCTCTGTAACCCTTTGCTCTCTGCCCTACCCTTCCTCAGAAGCCCTCCGAGTAGGTGTCTGGGTCCTATCCGCCCCCGGAATTGTTTTAAAAACAAGCAACATCTTCTCCGGGTCTGGCAGTCATTCCCTGCCGCCTTTTGGGGAAGGCCTGCAGTACCTCCCTACAAAGAGGCCATTCTCATCTGTCAAATTCTGGAGAAAGGTGCCACCCATACCAATTCTTAAAAACGCCTTAATTGGAATATTTTTTGTTGGCTGGACTTTGGTATGGGATGGTTGCGGGAGACTAAATACACTTTTTGTTCATTCCCTGATTTCCCCTAGAGAGTCCATGAGATTGGCAGCTACTGTACTGAAAGCTCAAAGCTCTGTAGTAAAGGGCTTTGAACCTCAGGCTAGGGTCAAAACTGTACTTGAAAACTAAGATTACTGATGCGTGTGTGTATTGACGTTCTGTGCCTCAGCACCTCTCCACTTTAAGGGTGTAAAATACCATATTTACAGCCCATCTTGAATTATTATTTACCAAAATTGATCCCTTTAAAAGCAGCTGTGAAAATGTGTTTTACTAGTCTGCCCACTTGTCAATGGGCACAGTTAAATTAATGAGTAGACTTAGCCTGGGGGAAGGCAACATTCCCAGCATGTGTTTAACAGTCTAGTCACTTGTAAATTGTGGGTATTAACCTTTCTAAGGTTATTGATCCCTTAGAAACTTTGGACCAAGAATGAGGCCTATTTTTAACAAATGAGGATGAGCCATCAATTTCAGATGACTTTGCTTGTATTTTAGTAAGGTAGGTTGAGAATTTACTTTAGTTCATGAATATTGACAACTGCAAAAGTATGCTGTGCTGGAGATTGAATTTACTATTTACATATGCATGCATTAGAACAGCGTTTGTGTGGCCATTATCTGCACGGTCTGATACTAATTTTCTAGGGGTAATTGCTTTTGTAATTTTAGGATAAATGAGTTTAATTTTGACTTTCTAAGATTTTTTTCACTAGTTTAAAAGCCTCTTAATTATATGTTCCTACAGACTCCACCGTGAATTGGTGTTGTGCATGAGGTATTAGAGATCACATTTTGTCATTCTTATAATACTTACCTGGAAGTCATGTAAATTCAATTGAGAAAAAAGGAAGAACTCTTGAAAGTAGTAGTAATGAAGGGGGTAAATGGACTAGATAAAATGTTTTAAAGCCCATTACTGCCTGTGTAATATCTTGTTTGATAGAATTGAATTAAAATAATAATAGCTAGTATTTTAGTATCTTCCGTGTGCCAGACTAAGTGCTTTACACATTTAAACTCATTTAATTCTAACACAATCCAGTAGTTGTTAGGGGTAGTTGTTACAATTATTTTTGCTGTATAGATGAGGGTCAAGTAACTTGGCCAAGGTCATGCAACTGGAAATTAGTGTGTAGGATTTGGACCCAGGCATTCTGGCTCCAGAGACCAGACTCTATGCTAACAATGAAACAGTACCTGCTAAAAGACCTCACTCTGAACTGGAAACTGGCTGGCACATAGTGAGACAGGGACCATGGGTATAGTCAGAGTAGGGTGAGGGCCTCTGGAAAAAGCAAGGCAGGATATTTACAGTCAGAACAACGTAACTTACATGCAAGGAAACCCCCTACCCAAACTCTGTGTTAGACATTAAGCTCTAGAGTCATTCTTCAGTGAGATCAACTATTACTCCACAAATAAAGGAAAGTAGCCCATGTAAGCTAATCGTTGGTAATCATGTGTAAGAATCACTTTAGCATGCTGTGGGTAAAACTGTAACATTTCCGGAATATCTTGCCTGGCTTTAGTACGTTTGAATATCCACAGGGGTGGAGAGAAGTTCTGGTTTTGCTTCTGCTGGAGCAGGAGAGAAGGCCCCCGACTGCAGTTTGTAAGCAATAAACAGATTTTAAACTTTATTTCTCCCTTTGACTGATTTCGGTTTTTAGAGGTATTTTGGCCCTTGGAAATTAGTGTGTAGGATTTGGATCCATGACTTCACATGCTAAAAGTCCTAGGCCTATGTGCTGTCTTTCCTCCTTCAGACCTGATGAGATGACTTGCAATCTGGGCAATTAATGGCAAGCAAGCCCTGCCATAAACAACATAGTAAAAGGCAGGAAGGAGTCCATCTTCAAGATAAGATTGCATTTTAATACCCAGGAAGTTAGGAAGATCCTTAACTTAATCTTTAGCAAATACACAATACCTCAGCCCACCTTGGGGGCTGAGTAGGCTGACCTGTTTGATATGCTCCCAGACCAAGATGCCAGTAACTCAGGGAGAAATCAGAGCAGGAAGGTCCTTGTGCTAATTTAATTCTAAAAATTCAGGTACCACTTGTCTTGCCAATAGGTTTCAGCCCCAAGCAAGTTCACTATGGATTCAGTGTAACCAAAGAAATGACAGTAGAACGGTACTTTGGTGTGAAAGGGTTTATTACCTGGCTTGTTCTCCTGGTGGTAGATCGAGCACTAGCTTCTCTGCCTCAGCCTAGAGCACTGGGCCAAGCACTCTCTGTAGTGAAATAATAGCTTATTGCCCAAAGGTGTGGAAGTGGTAGCCTAGCAACAGGCCAGTTACGTCATCAGGTGGTTTATGTTCAGTAAGAATCCTGTCCATAGGAACCCCAGCTTCCCCACACTCCACCCTTCCAGGATTCTGGCCTTACAGTCTACATGCTTTCAGTCTTCCGCAATGGTCCCTGTGCGAGAAAGCTGGAGCACTGTAACCAGATTCCACAACAGCAACAGAGGATAACAACAACTTAGAGATAATAACAAAAATTAAGATACAACAAAATTTTGATACAGGTAACAAAAATTATAATAATCCTCAAGCCAGAGGAAGTTCCCAATCCACAAAGACCTGAGGGGAGATAAGAAACATGTTTTAATGACACCAACATAGGCAAATCTTGTCCATCAGGTAGGGTGCATGCAAGACAGTGGTCCTGTGATAGGACTGTAGCAGAAGGGGGATCCCTTCCAGGTCTAGTATACCATATTTTTACTCCATTCCCTGTGGGGGGTTACTTAAGGGTCTATATATATAGTGCTACTGGAGGTGCAAACACTGGCTATAATGATAAAACAAAACTCCCCAGTAAGATGCTCCTACCTTCAGGCCATTCAGGATATACTACTGTAACCTTTGGCAGCCACTCTGCTAATATTCCAGGGATACACAGGAGGCCAGCTTCCAGGCCTTGTCCCCAAGGTGCCAGGAGAGCCAGCCATTGTTGGTCCATGTGTTGAAAGGTCCAAGGCCATGTCCTCTCAATGGAGTCTCCAGGGTTCAGTGCAGTTGGTGCTGGCAGCAAGATAATATTTTGGTGGCTGAACCTCGGCTTCAGTGATTCTTCCTTCGTTTGTACTTGCAGTTGTATAGGGGAGGCAGCCATATGTGTTAACATGTCTACAGGGCTCAGGGCTCCCTTTTAGGGTCTCATTCAAACGCCGTAGCACGGTCCATAGGTGAACTGATCATCCCCGCAGACTGTTGGCATCCGACTTTAGTCCGGAATTTAACAAGCCATTGTGCCTCTCTATCATGCCTGCTGCGGTAGGATTGTATGGCACATGAAACTTCCATTTGATTCCCAGCTGTCTCACCCATTCTTGCAGTGTATGTCCAGTAAAATGGGTGCCCTGATCACTCTCAGTTACCTGTGGTGGGCCATAGGCAGCAAAGGGACGCTCCAGGCCTCTTTTGATCATCTGCTGGTCTGCACAATGGTAGGAAAAGGGTAGGAAAAGCACAATGGTAGGAAAAGGGTAGGAAAAGCAACCAGAAGTCCAGTAGCTGTGTCCACACAAGTCATGGCATACCGATACCTTTCTAACACAGGTAGAGGCCCAATATAGTCTATTTGAAACCTGACGAGGGTATAGACCCCTTAGCTATTGTTCCATGTTGCTGTGGAACTCAGTGTAAGTCCCTTTTGGAGCACATGACACACTCCTGCCAGGCTCTAATAACTTCTTCAAAGGTCAAAGGCAAGCCCCACTGACAGGCTACAGTCCACATTGTCTTTTGCCCCGCATGCAACAAATGCTGATATAGCCATTGGGCTACATCAGAGGCAGGCTTTCCTGATAACCAATGTATCTGGGCCAGTTTATCTGCTTCATCATTTCCTGGGGATGCCAGTGGAAAATGATCTGCCACATGGTTTACTGTAATTATTTTAGTCTGACCACAGGCCCAGAGGTTTTGCCATAGTTCATGCCCCCAAAGGGGTTGGTGACCAATCAGCCAGTTGGCATGGTATCAGGTTGGTAGCCACAGGGTCAAGCTCTGATAGCCCAGCAGACAACTATAGGGGAGGGCTCTTGGCTGATCACAAGCCACACTACCTGCAGCCCTGCCCATTGGCTGCTCTTCCCCTCACCATCTTCCATCCATATTGTCTTAGTCTGAGAATGGAAAGCTATGGCCCTCCATTTTGGGGTCTGCCT